TCGACCGCCAAAGGGGTCGTGACCCACAGGTTGAGAACCGCTGCCCTAGCGGGTTTGGCTCAGTGATTGGAGCATTGGCCCTTGGACTTAAAGGTCCCGGGTTTGACTCCGGTCAAGGGCATCTACCTCGGTTGCAGGCTTCATCCCCAGCCCTGGGCCAGGCATGTTAGGGAGGCAACCAATCAACATGTGTCTCTTTCACATCTGTCTTTCTCACATCGGTGTCTCTCTCTGTCTCTCCCCCTCCCTTCCACTGTCTAAAGAAATCAATGGAAAAAAATATCCTCAGGTGAGGATTAACCAAAAAAAAAAGAAAAGAAAGTAGTGGGGCCAGTATTTGAATGGCACTGTTTCCAGTTCTCTAACCCTAAAATAAGTGGGTTCATCCATGGTCCACCATTAACAGTGATGGTGAACCTTTTGAGCTCAGCATGTCAGCATTTTGAAAAACCCTAACTTAACTCTGGTGCCGTGTCACATATAAAAATTTTTTGATATTTGCAACCATAGTATAAAAAAGATTTATATTTTTGATATTTATTTTATATATTTAAATGCCATTTAACAAAGAAAAATCAACCAAAAAAATTAGTTCGCGTGTCACCTCTGACACGTGTCATAGGTTCACCATCACTGATATAGAATATGCTCCATTCTGTAACTCACTGTTTACTAGCTGAAAAGTGTAATGACTGAGTCATTACCGCCTGAGCTCTGTAGCCAAACTTTTCAGAGCCTAACTCTAGCTTTGTCACACACTGAATGTGTGACTTGTGTCTCAATCCTTCTGTGCTTCTGTAAAATGTAGTTGGTAACAGTATCACAGTCAAGGCATTGTTTTGAGGATCAAATGAAAAAAACATAAGAAAAGTGCTTAGAACAGTGCCTGGCACCTGAGAAACGTTGGTGTAATTAGCTGATACTGCATACATTGACAAGCTGTTCAAAAAGTTGCAAATTTGGGGGTTATATTTAAAGCCTTCTAGGATGAATACCAACTATCAACAACGGTAAATTACTTGGGAGAAGTAGACTTTGGATGCAAGCAGAACATCAATGTTTTTACTTGGCATACCTCAGTATTGTTGGAATGTGTCGCAACAAGCATGTTGTACCATTGTACTTTTAAATAGATAAGTCAAGACAGAATATTTCAAAGCCTGCTTCAGTAATCCATTCTAGCCCTTGGAGCTCAGCTTCCAGAATGCCTTTTATAGATTTAACCTCCTTGTCCTCTTAGCCCTTTGTACGGATGTCCTGCCCTCTGTAGACTAACCTTTTGATGAGACCTTTTGATTATAATCCAGTGGTTGCTGATGTCTGCACTCCCAGAGTGTATCTGCACAGGGCATGCAAATGTTACAGACTCCTGCAGTGTAAGCATGCTGGTGCTCAGCCTGAAAAGGGGCTGCAGTCATGCACCAGGGAAGCCGGGCCACCACCGAGATTTCCATCAGCAACAGAGTGCTGAAAGCTGTCACAGCATTCTGCTATCTAGGCACCAGGCTGTCTCTCTACACTTAGATTGACAGGGAAAGAAAAAACTGAAAAGAGAGGCAAGCCACCAAGCATCCTTCCCGTGTGTCACTGCCATGGCATCAAAGCCCTGACCAAACCGGAGCACGGAAGACCACAGCTGCTCTCCCACCTCCTAGAGCAGCGGTTCTCAACCTGTGGGTCGAGACCCCTTTGGGGGTCGAACGACCCTTTCACAGGGGTCGCCTAAGACCATCGGAAAACACATATATAATTACATATGGTTTTTGTGATTAATCGCTATGCTTTAATTATGTTCAATTTGTAACAATGAAAATACATCCTGCATATCAGATATTTACATTACGATTCATAACAGTAGCAAAATTACAGTTATGAAGTAGCAACGAAAATAATTTTATGGTTGGGGGTCACCACAACATGAGGAACTGTATTAAAGGGTCGCGGCATTAGGAAGGTTGAGAACCACTGTCCTAGAGGAATGCACAACTTAGAACTGCTGTCATCCTTGAGCAGCTTCATTGAGACTATTTACTATCTACTAAGGGTGTGTTTTTTTAAAACAAATAGTCAATTCTCAAGCCTTTACTCTCCTTTGTAAATAGGTGTGTATTAGCTAGGGTAATGCTAGCTGCTATAACGAAAGTTTATTTCTCCTTACATTAATCTTCTGTGGATGCTCTTGGGTGGGAGAAGCAGGGCTCTGCTCTGCACAGTCCGAGACCCATGTTGATGGGGGCAGGAGGGGGCTTGCTGTCTTCAATGCTGGCTTCCAAGATCCTGTGAGCTTCCAGCATCTAGCTGGTAGAACAGGAAAGAGGAGCATTCATGAGAGGTGTTTATGGGCCAGTCCTGGAAATGGTGCCATAACATTCTGTGGCCACACCTATCTATGTGCAAAGGAAGATGGGAAATGTGGTTCATCTGTGTGCCCAGAGAAGAGGGCATGAATTTGCTGAACATGAGAGCCAGTCTCTGTCACACACACACACACAAAACACATATTCACCTTGAAGGACTGTAATAAGGATTAAAGGTGATATGGTGACTTATGCTTGGGTCATTTGCTATTGAGGAGAGGAGTGAGGATGTAAAAAGAGGTGAGCAGTAGAATACTTAAGCAGACACTGGATAGTGGGGCTGAGCTGGAGTGGTCACAGGCACAACGGTTAAGGTGATGACAGAACAGACTGACAAAAGGGTGTGAGTTGGGGACACTCAGCCACTACTGCCGCTCACCAAAGGGTTTCTGTGCTCCGCTTTGGAGTGTGTGGTCATGTGACTAGTTCCAGCCAACAGGCAGAAGGAACGTGTATCACTTCCTGTCTGAGCTTTTAATTGCTGGGGGAAGGCTCTCCAAAGGGCTCTTTTCCCTCTGGCAAAGAATAGCGAACAGTATTCCAGAGAGACGGCCTCCATCAGTCTAGCTTCTGGTGAAGGACAACGGAGTGGAGCTTCCAGTCACCCATGCAACATCTTGGTTTTTTTAAGTCACTGGGATTTTGAAGTTGTATATTACTGCAGCATAGCCTAGTTTATTCTGACATAGAAACCTTTTTTTTCAGGCAAGAGGAATCAGATGGTCTGTGAATCAGACGCTTGTCCATTTTAGGTCATGACTTCCAAGAACTCAGGAGCCATGCTTTTAAGAATATAAGTTAGCCCTAGCTGGTGTGGCTCAGTTGGTTGGAGCATTGTCCCATACACCAAAAGGTAGCAGGTTTGATTCCTGGTCAGGGCACATACACAGGTTGCAGGTTGGATTTCACACATACACACACACACACACATTAGGGGGTGAGCAGGGAGGCAGCCAATTCGTGTTCCTCTCAACCTTCCTCTCTCTAAAAAATAAATTTAAAAAAAATGTATATTTTTTAAAAAGAACATAATTTATACATCATTGCCTCAATGCAAGCAAAAAAAAAAAAGCTTGATGAGCTATGGATTATTTTAAATACTGATAAAATCAGCTTTCAGTACAGCTGCCAGATACACTCTCTTCCTCAAAAGATCATTAGTTACAATTTAGAGAAAGCTTAAAGCTACAAAATGCCAAGGAGAGATGTTAAGGACATAGAATCAGAAGTAAGAGAAAAATGAAAATGGGAGAGCTTTGGAGGGGACGGTGGGCAGCAGTAGGAACCATTTTTGTGTGGAGGACAAATTTGCCATCCTCTGGGATCTCTAGAACTGGCCTCCTGAATTCGGGAGGGTCTCCTGCACTGTGGGTTGCTTTATGGGGCCTCCTAGTGTTCTGGCCTATGGACCAGCCCTATAATGTTTTCCTAACTTGTGAAATTCCACCTCAGATCTCCCTTACATTATCCCATATTGCAGATAACTTGACATAAAAACACAATGGTTGAGGGACTATGGCTCTTTTTTACTATGTCCCCCTAGAATAAAAGTAAGCGATCCAACAGGACACCCTAGTTCTGCTTCCTTCAGCATAACAAGAAACTCCGATGTTCCCAGCCAGCTGGTCGAACTGCCTGAACTAGAGCTCAACAAGCAGACTATAAACTCCTTAGATACAAGAGCTGCATTTTATTCATCTGTGAATAGCACAGTACTTAGTGAAGAGCCTGCTTTGGCTTGAATGTTGATTCCTCCGCTTAATAACTGGGTAACTTCGGCCACTTAACCTCCCTAATCTTGTTTCATCGCCTGTAAAATGGGGATGATAATGCCGGACTCCCCGGACTTGCGGAAATTAAACGTGACAATTGTATGTAATGCTTCTGGTGCAGCTCAAAAGTCTGTGTTGAGAGCTTGAACGAACAGTGGCTTCTATCCAACTAAGGCCGTGTGATCTCAGAAGAAACTGTGTGAGTCTCCACCAAGTTTAAAGGAAACTGCCTTTGCCAGAGGCTGCAAATGCTACAACATGGGGGTTAAAGAGACATGTCTACACCTCAAGGGGCAGGCTTGGTTTTCATTTCCTCTGCATTGTTTCCATTTTTATATGGATTAAAAATACATGGAATTAAAAATAAATACAATTTTTGAAGGAGGGGTAAAAAAACGGGCTGGCAGGGTTCCTGGCTTATTTGCTGATTCTTTTAGCTCTTTCAGGGACAGCAAGAACACAGTAATAATTACCCTTAATAATATGGCTGCTTGTTCCCATCTGGACCGGGGGGTAGACACAAAGTATAATCATCTTCTGTAGTTGTAGCAAGTGTTTCTTCACAAGACCTTAGGGTAGCTCCCATGTGTCATCTGCCAGCTTCCACAGATTATCTTCCCTTACGCCTTTTGCTTGCCCCTCCGCCACCTTCCTGCTCCCAGGCAATTGAGGGGAGGGAGAAACTGAGGCGGGGAGCGGGGTTGGGGGCAGGCGGAGCCGGCCAGGAGCACCCCCCAACCCTCCACCCCGGGCCGGGGAGGCAGGGCCCGCAGGAGCCCCGCGAGGGCCAGGCCGCCGGCCGAGGGGGCGGGCCCGAAGCCGCGGCCTCGCCTCCGACCCCGCCGCGCCCGCTGCTTTGCTCCGGGCGGCCCCGGGGCCGGGAGCTGGGCCCGGAGCTGCGGCCGCGCCGCCGCCATGCTGCAGAAGCGGGAGAAGGTGCTGCTGCTGAGGACCTTCCAGGGCCGGACGCTGCGCATCGTGCGGGAGCACTACCTGCGGCCCAGCGTGCCCTGCAACAGCCCGCTGTGCCCGCAGCCCGCCGCCTGCCGCAACGGTCAGCCCGGCGGAGGAGGGCGGCGGGGCGAACGCGGAGAGCGAGGCGCGGGAGAGGGGGCCCGGGCCGGGCGGGACCGAGGGCGGCC